CTTACAATTGCAAATCATAGAGTTGATAAATCAGATAACAAAAACGTATACTAAAAATATAATATCATAATATGAAAACTAATATAAGAGAAAAATATTAAAACTATTGAGAGAATAAATCTCCCCATAAACTAAACTCTTAAACGTCTACATTGTGGATGCTATTGAGTTGCGTTATGGGAATAGGGATCTTCAATTTATAGATCTCCAAACTTTTCCTCTAAGGAAAGAATAAACCAAATATGGAAGAAAAATATATTTCCTTTCATGAAAAGTAAATACATTTTTGGTAATGTTTTGTCTTTTCTTTTAGGAAAAACTAACTTCAAATAAGGTAAGAAAATCAGGGCAAAACCCTAACACGTACTTTACTCAAAACATTTTTACGTTTTTGTCAAAGCATGAAGAATTCTAAGAGATGAAATTCAATGCACACAACATTCATTGTAAATGAATATAGGACATTTAAAATTAGTCTAACCAATTTAGACTTCTCCAATTGAACTACTATAAAATAGTATAAATACCACTCCTTTTCCTCAAATGGATAAAGGAAGTTGAAAAACTAAATTTCATATGACAGTCAAATTACTCGAAGGTAAATGGCAACTATCCATCCAATTATTTTACAAGATGGTAAAGTTAGTTTCATCATTTAGACAGAATATGTAGTAACAATTTGGCTAATTCTCATTCTTTATTTATGAAAAAGATATTTTTTTTTGGCCTTACATATTGTAAATTATAATAGGATGTTATCTACTTCGATTGATTTGTCGATACTATCATCTAGACAACTTTTTTAGATTTGTGTAATACAATAATTATATCTATTTCTTTGCTATTTGTTGTAATTGACACTTTAAATTATATTGTAATTTTTTTTTGGACAACATGTGAAGTTTCATGTACTATGAGGAAAAAGGTGACCTTTATTTGAGAAGTTTTATATACGCTGCAGATTTTAATAGGAGTATGCCAATAACATCTGTTAGCCCATACATATGAGATAAGAATATACATATATTAATTTGTGTTTATAATTATAGTATTTTAAAATACTAAATATTATCATTTTTTATTTTATTTGGAGAAGAGATACTTTGTTGTCATATTTTAATTTGTTATTGGTATCCAAGAGTATATTCCAATTATTTGAACTATTTTTTGTTTGAAAATGAACGATATTCATGTAATTTAATTATAAATCTATTTTAATACAATGATAATTTGAAACAATTTATATCAATTTAGATGAACACACGTGTCCAGAAACTAGAAAGATAAAACATATATACCTGTGAAATGGTTGGATCCGAGATACAATATCTGCAAGTTACTCAATCTTCCAATTTCACTATGTATTGGTCCATCAAAATCATTTTCAAATAGAGACAAAATTTGCAATTGTGAACAATTTGACAAGCTTGTAGGCATATGACCATGAAGTTTGTTTCCAGATAGATAAAGTTTTTTGAGTATCGGGAGACCATTGCATAAACCATTGGGAAGATTTCCTGATAAGCTATTGTTTGTAAATGCAATGACTTGGATACTAGAAATATTGAAAATTGTGAATGGTATAGAACCCGTAAGCATATTATATTGTATGGACAACAATTTCAGGTTGTGAAGATTGCCAATCTCTTCCGGGATGTTTCCTTCAAGTAAATTGTCAGATATTACTAAAGTCTCCAACCTTGAGGCATTCGAGAGTGACGGGGGAATGAAACCAGTGAAACTATTTCTTTGAAGATTTAAAACTTGAAGTTGTTCTAAAAACCCAAACCAAGAAGGAATTTCCCCTCTGAATTTGTTTAAACTTAACTTAAGAAACTTAAGCCGACGTAAGCGTACCATTTCTTGAGGCAAATTTCCATGGAAATTGTTCCTTCCCAAATCAAGAGAAACAAGAAATGTGAGGTTTCCAAAATCACGAGGAATCCTGCCGGTAAGAGCCATGTCGGAAAGATTCAAGGACTTCACTCTCTGGTGACGGTAGTCACAAGTGACTCCTACCCAATGACAAACATAAATAGTAGGAGACCAACTTTCATCCAAGTAATGAAAAGGATCGGAACTAATTTGAGATTTCAAAGAGAGAAGAGCTAATTGATCAGTCGTAATGTTGGTTTGGGTCATAACATAGTGAAGCAACAAGAGTATTGTCAAGAGGAAAAATGTAAAGGCTTTCTCCATTATATTAGTGCAAATATTAATAGAAAAATGATATGGCAAGTAACAAGTGGTATTGAGGCTTTAAATAGCAATGAGATCAACATGATTATTATTTTTTTTTAAAAGAAATTACTTTTATTTATTCATATCAATACTAATACTACCAAATCAATCAGAAATGTAAAATGGTGCAAAAATTCTCCTAATCATCCGAAGGCTTGTGCAAGTCAACTAAAGTCTCTTATTTTCTCTATAATTGTGTGGTGAAATGTAGTGCTACTTTTAGCAACTTAGATTATACGTCGGAAAAATATTTGTTAGACTGTGAGGATATATATGCATCATATTTTTAATGAGGGGTATATTTTTTCGTTTTCTTTTTTAAAATAAATTAATACACAACATTAATTTGTATTGGCTATTATCATTTTAGGGAATTTTCCAGGTTATGTGGGTCCAAAGACTTGTCAAAATTGGTTAGGACCAAATATACATCAAGTTTTGGAAACCATAAATGTGGTGGCAAAGTTATTCATCTATTTAGTCCAAAGACTTCCCAAGTTGCCTTCTACTAAAGGTATGTCCACTAGCTAGCTAGCTATATCGAGAAGTGAAACGGGTCCAAAATGATTTGAGATTTTACGGAAAAAAGAGTTAACTTGTATAATTTGTGATAGTTCAGATAAAATATACAAACACATGATAGTTCATGTATGAATCTTGCAAAAAAATAAAAATAAAATACATCATTGTTTTGATCATTATTGCTTCTCACTTAGGAGATAAAATGTACAAAATGAGATATTTGGGAGATGTTTGACTAAGCTTATAGGCTCGTTAAACTAACTTAGAAATCATTTTTTTAGCTATGTACTTGTTTAGTAAACATTCAAAGTACTTATAAACTAAAATCAACAAAGTCATAAGTTGGTCATCCATAACTTATTAATTTTTAGCTTAAGAACACTTTTGATTTGATCAAGTCTTTTACTATTTTGTCCTTCATTTTTAAAAATTCTCAAAAAAAGAAAAGAAAAAGAAATCCAATATAAAACTCGTAACTTCCTCTTCACTAAGTATACATCGTTCCTCTATTTCTTTACAAGCATTGGCGGAGCCAGATATTTCATCAAGGGTGTTCAAGATTATTATTTTTTAACAAGTGAGCTGAATGTTATTTGTTTAACCTAGGGATTCTACCATGAATGATCTCAACATTTATCAATATCAAATATAAACAATCAAGTTTTTTTTCTCTCTTTTTGATGCATTGACTTTTTTTATGTGGCACACCCCGTGACTCCACGCAGTTGAGGCGCGTAGGAGATATTTGGATGCCACATAAGTCAAAAAGGTGTCCAAAATCACAAAAAAAAATGAGTTCAAGGGGTAATAGGACCTTAGTTTAATTAAGGTGTGTCTCTGAGATTTGGGTCTTCTACCTTTTCCCATTAATTTGTATTGGTTGTGATTGTTTTAGGAAAAATTTCCAAGTTTCGTGGGTCCTAAAGATTTGACAAACTGAAGAAGACCAAAATCAACCAAGTCTTGCAAACGTAAATGTGGGGCAAAGATGTACATCTAATTAACTTGTTCAAAAGATGCTCAAAGTTATATTTAAAGGCCATAATATATAAACATGACTCTTAATTTGACTTCAGCTGATAACTATGCCCTTTAACTTTGGGTGTGCACAACTAGCCACTTAAACTTGTATAAAATAGAACAAATAAATACATTTGTCCTACGTAATGACAATTTTGTGTCCTACGTGGCATCTTATAGGTATTATGTCACTTAGGACACATGTGTCTATTTCTTCAATTTAATACAAGTATAAGTGTCTACCTAATATGTAAGTTGAAGCCAATTTTTTTATTCAGAGATATTTTTATAAATTTCTATTCTTGAAAATAAAAAAACAACGTTAATTTGTATGGATTTTATCGTTTGAAGACTTGACCAATTGGACAACCAAGTCTTGCAATTTTATTTTTTTTTAAAGAAAAACTTTAAACTTGTGCGTAGAGTTCGTGCCACAATGTACAAATGGATACTTGACACATACGCATTATAATTTGGGTGAAATATATTCAATTGGCCACCCTTGAGCCTTGGGACAAGTTGTTCTTAAGTAGCACCAAAACATCATCTCTCTTCAGCATGTACTTCTCGACTAAATCATCTGCAGCACTGCCATAAGTTTGTGGGTGATACGCTGTACTCATACCCAGAGAGGTGCCCTGGAGTCTATTAATTTCCTACCAAAAAGAGTGAAGAAATCTCGGATACCTGTCACATTCTATTGACACTAGTCCATCCAGCCCATACTCTACAGTCAAACAATTAATTAAAAGATGCAATATACTTTCTTGATTGGAAAAAAAAAGAATAAGAGGAAAAATCAATGTTCAAATTAGCAAAAATAAAGAGATGTACCCCGTGCTATATAACCAAATGTTGCTAAGGTTTTTGTGTATAAATCACTCTCATCTTGACCAAGCAGTTTTGAAATACCAAAGTCGCTTAGGTGGGCAACCATATCCACATCCAGCAAGACGTTACTAGGCTTCAGATCACAGTGAATCACGGGAGAGGAGCATCCATGATGAAAATATTCCAACGCACATGCCACATCTATCATAATGCTTAGTCTCTGTCTGATGTCTAGGAAGTAGTTGTGCGAATACAAATACTTGTCAAGACTTCCATTAGGCATATACTCGAGCACTAAAGCCTTAAAATCAAGGTTGGAGCAACTAGTGATGACTTTCACGAGATTCCTGTGGCGAAGGCTGCGTAAAACTTCACATTCTGTATCAAAACTCTTGAATGCCGCTTCCAGTTGCAGATTGAACACTTTAACTGCAATGGCAGTCCCACTCCTGAGAACGCCTTTTTAAACAGAGCCAAAACTTCCAGAACCAATCAGATTACTCTCGCTAAGCGAATCAGTTGCTTGGAGCAGTTCATAGTATGAAATTCTTTCCGTTGTTGCCATAGACAATGAATCAGTTTGCTGAGGAGATCTTTTACCTCTTCTATACCTTATCCATACAAACACAAGGGTAATAGGAACAAATACAAGTGCAATTCCCAGCATAAGATTTTTTTTCCTATTTGACCTATGCTTTGATGAAGTGGGGCATGGAGGGACGCTAAATCTTGAAGAACCACACAATGCTTCATTGTTGATGAAAAAAAGACTCGAGACGTTCTTGAAAGGACCCGCCGAGGGTATTTCGCCGTGCAATTTGTTGTCAGAAACATTGAAATACTTGAGGTATTGAAGTTTCTCCAAAGACATAGGAATGATTCCTGATATATTAGTATGAGAAAGGTCTAGGAATTCCAAACCTACCATGTTGCTCATTGAGTCAGGTATAGATCCTTGCAACTTGTTGTGTCTCAAAGAAAGATGCACCAGATTTTGCAATCCTCCAATTTCTCTTGGAATTCCATTTGAGAATTGATTCATCTACAAATCCATCTGTATCACAGATTTTAGATTTCCAATTTCCGGAGGTAAAGAACCAACCATGTTGTTTGATGATAAGTCAAGAACCACTAAATCTTTCAGATTTCCTAAGCTTGTTGGTATATTGGAACTCAATTTATTGGATTTCAGATATATCTCTCTAAGGGAGGTAACGTTCCCTAAACAATTTGGAATAGATCCTGAAAGTTGATTTTGAGTGAAGTCTATCAAAACCCAAATAATGCAATTTACATATATGATCTCCAATAAATCCTGTAAGTTTGTTGTATTCAAAATGCATACGCTGAAGGTTACTCAAGTTCTGAGTTGATGATGGAATTGATCCAATTAAGTTATTATAAGAAAGATCAAGGTCTAATAAGCTGCTTAAGTTTCCAACTTCATTTGGAATCTGGCCGTTGATCTTGCAAGCAGTGGCTAAAAAATTACAAGAGATATGGAGAAGTTCCCTACGGAGACTGGAAGCATGCCATTTAGAGGGTTGAAAGATAGATAAAGAGATGTTAAATTTCTGCAATTGGTTAAGGAAGTGAGGAAGCTTAAAAATGAATCACTGGTTAAATTGTTTCCCCCCAAGTTTAGGAAGCGTAGATGAGTCAAATATCCAAGAGAATTGGGAATCAATCCTGTGAGTTTGTTGTATGAAAGCTCTAGATTAGTAAGCTTTGAACAATTGGAGATAGAATAAGGAATAGTCCCAACGAGATTGGTTAAGCGACTCAGATAAAGCTCTTCAATGTTGGGTAAGATAGAACCTATGTTTGGTTGGATGGTCCCTGGTAGATTGTTGGCTGAAAGATCAATTGCTCTCATCCCTGATATGTTGAACATCTCCATATCAAGTGAACCACTAAAACTATTAAACTGAAGACCAAGTTTCTCCAACTCAACGAGATTTCTTATCTCTTTGGGTATTTCACCTGTCAACACATGAAGAAAGATTTAAGTTTACTAACTAGCTAGTTCAATACAGATTGCTATCACTTTGAATACGTACCAACAAACCTATTTTCGTTAAGATATAAAACTTGCATCTTGGTTAAGTTGACAATCTCCCGTGGTAAGGATCCTTTGAGATTGTTCCTCCATAGTGAAACAAAATGCAACGAGGATGGGAGTGAACCAGTGAAACTATTATTTCTAAGACTTACATATTGAAGTTGGTGTAAAAGCCTAAACCAAGAAGGAATTTCCCCTCTGAATTTGTTCAAACTTAAGCCGACGCAAGTGTGCCATTTCTTGAGGCAAATTTCCCTGGAAGTTGTTGCTTCCCAAGTCAAGAGAAACAAGAAATGTGAGGTTTCCAAAATTACGGGGAATCCTCCCTATAAGAGCCATGTTGGAAAAATTCAAGGCCTTCACTCGCTGGTGGCGAGAACCACAAGTGACTCCTACCCAATGACAAACAGAAATATTGAGAGACCAACTTTCATCCAAGTAATGGAAAGGGTCGGAACTAATTTGAGATTTCAAAGAGAGAAGAGTTAATTGATCCGTAGAAACGTTGGTACGAGTCATGGTTGAACTAGGCATAACATAGTGAAGCAACAAGAGTAGTGTTAAGAGAAAAGATCTTAAGGCTTTCTCCATATGTAAAAATATTAGTAGGAAAGTGTTTATGAGACTTTTCTTTCTAATCTTTTTTTAAAGGGACTTTTCTTCATGCATACTAAACTATTAAACAAAAAAAATGTGTCTACATTGGTTGTTGTCAGTTTGATTTCAAGTACTGTTGAAACCCCTCATTTTAGATAAGTAGATAAATTAGCAAAACTTTCCATTGTCTTGTTGTTGTTGTTGTTTTCACTTAATTTGTTGAGGATGATAAAAAGGACAATAAAGAATGTGAATCTACCAAGTCTTGCTTTCATTTTCTCTATAGTAAATATTCTGTGGTTTAAAGTTGTGCTACATGACTACATCTAATTTTCTTTTATATATTTTATTTATTAGAAATGGAAAGCTTCCGAGTGCAATGTTGAAAGACCAATTTGCCCTGCAACAACTTTACCTTTCACTTAAAGTTGGGCTACATGACTACATTAAATTTATTTTTCTCCTTCTATAAATTTTGTTAGAGTAACTAAGTAACAATACTGAAAAGTGGTGAGCGTTTGACCTCAGACAAGTAGATTGTCTCTAAAAAAATTAATTTATGTTGTTGTGGTGTACATTTTTGACGGTCTTAACTTATTTATAACTAATATTGATTATCGAAAACTTTTATATAATTTGTTTTTAACGAGTTATTCTAACCATAAAATTATCAGTTCTATATTTTTCATGTACAAAAAAAAAGAGAAAAAAGTATGTTTCATCGCTACATAAAAACATCACTCAGTTTTAACAAGACAATTATATATTGCATAATGTTTATGTTCTCTAATTCATGTGAAGGTATTTGATTAGATAGTGCATAATTATAAAAAAAAATATATATATATATAAAGACTTTTAAAATTTATAGTGTAAAACAAATTATAAAAAAATTATAGCAATAATTATTTCATTAATGTTAAAATGAGAGATTTAACATCATATTTTTATTAAATATGAAAAGCTGTCATCCTTCTTGATACCAAGTAGAAAAGAAAACAAGCCACAAAAATAGAGATGAAAAGAGTATAAATTTGAATTAGTATTTCACTAACTTTTTTTTTTCCAGTAATAACCCATGGGGCCATTTTATTTAACTAGTTTTCGAACACGTGCAGTGCACGTGTATTCCAGGCTAAGTAATAGTTTATTAAAATAATATTAGAATAAATGTGTGATGAGTTATATGAACTTTGAAAGGGATAAGTTACCTTTTGTCTGAATTAAACTTCATAGTCCTTTCATATTTAACAACAAAAATCCCCTAATCAGATGAATCTGGAAAAGGAAAGCATCTGCTTAGACAAAACCTTCCTCAAAGATGCATACTCTCATGTTTGATCGAACTTGTGGCGCCACACTTTCTTGTTTTTGGAAGCTTAACCGATCTGGGTAAGCGTCTTCTTCTTCAATTTTTGGACTTTGTAACTTCTTCTTTCATGATTAAGATCCATCCTTTACATTGTAGCTAAGTACAAAGTATGAAAATGAGTTGAAATCAAGGTCTTTTAATCTCTCAGTTGAAAGTGTGCCCTGCGTGTGAATTGAAATTCCAGTGGCTTCAAATGTGTGACCAGATGTATAACTTATTTTGCCTCATTCGAATTGAGCTCTTTTTATTTGAAAAAAATAGCTCTGCCCTTTGTATTGACGTATTTTTTATCTGCAAAAATATAAACTGTCTCTCCAGTAGGCTATTAGTCTTGTTGTAAATTGGACCGAAGTGAACTCGTGTGAATTCTCGCTATGTTAGAAATCTGAATTTGAATTCTTCCATATCGTATTCACTTATCATGATGTTGGCTAGTGTCTAAAAAAGGCCTTTGATCAAATGATAAAAAGAAAATTCCCCTTCCTTGATGTTGTGTTGCTGTGAAATCCTTTTAGTTTTGATCCTTAAGTTTGGCACTAGTTGTTTTTCAAGGTTTAGGATTTTCCTGGGTAGTTCGGTGAAAATGGAAAAACTCAATCTACCTTCCCTATCCAAAGCTAGATTAGCCATGTAATCCGCCAATGTATTCCCTTCCCTATAAACATGTTGGATCCTAACTTGACATTGAAGTGCTAGAGCCTTGATATCACTTACTAGAATAGCAATATGCCAAGGCACTTCCCAAATTCCGGCTAGTATCTTCACCAAACTTAAATAATCTGTTTTGATGCATACCTTATCGAGACATATGGCAACACAGTGATAAATTGCTTCTTTGATTGCAATTGCCTCTGCCTCAATGTTGGTGCATTCATTGATTTCTTCCCCTTGAGCGTAGATTAGATCCCCTTTATGATTTCTCAAGCAAAACCCATAATCACTTCTACCTGGATTACCCCTTGATGCTCCATCAGTGTTGCATTTTAGGGTACCTAACTCAGGTGGTTTCCAATCTCCATATGTCATTGCTAACTCTATAAATCAGACTGTTTGTAACTCATCCTTCTTCCATGTTTGATACTACTCCTTCTTTTCCATAAATACCATAGAATAATTGTTGGTACTGCAGTGATAATAGGTCTTAGCTTTAGGATTATGGCAACACCAACATTGAGATACAAGTTGAATTCCAATATTTTGCAAGACTTCATCTATTGGAATTCTAAACTTCCATAGTCTCCAAAGGAAAAATGACATTTTGAAAGGCAATTTGTTAATCCACATATGCTTAAAATTGTCTTCCTTTTCCTCTTTCAGTCTTATGTATCCCCAAGCACTCTTCACAGAGAATCTCCCCGTTGTTTCCAGCATCCACTTTGCCTGGTCAATATCACTACTAATATCTGGAGGTGGTATGTTTCTAATAATATGCTGCACATACTCCTCTGGCATACAATCCCTTCGCTCATGTATATTCCATCCTTCCATCCCTGCGAAAGTGTTGACCTCTATTTCCTCTTCCTCGGCTTCTGGTAAGACATGATAAAGTGATCCCAAGCCTGTCCAATTGTCGTACCAGATGTATTTCACTAACTTCTATCACATTTCAAAAAAAAGAAATAATTTAGTACTTCTTATTCATATTTTTATAGCATATAGAATAAAATTTTGGGGCCTTCAATTTGGGGGTCTAATTGTTTTTTTTTTTTTTCACCTGGGGTCTAATTGTCTAAAACACTTGATTTAGTGGATTTCCCATTCAACCGACACTGACAACATATAATTTGCGGAAGACTTAGAATATTTTTTCTCTATCTCAACACTCTCTTTCACTACACTAATCTCAATATAAACACGATATAATACTTTTCATCTTTTACCCTCTATGTTTTCTTATATATAAAATAATGAAAGACCTTCACTATTTATAGAAAGATTATAGGGTAATAAATGAAATGTTGCACAATCACATTTCACATGATTAAATATTGAAATGCATTTTGCTCCAACACATTACATAAGAATACTGCGCAAAATTAAAGGTAAAAGAACACAAACTCACTCATCCTCTGCATCAGTAAAAAGCACAAAACAAAGGATAGAAGCACTGAACTCATTCTGTTTCAAGATTTGCCGGTAATCAAATGAAATAGTGATATTTATTGCAACCATCTAGAATTTCTGAAAACTGAATCATGCACAAATCAAGTGCTAAAAAAAACAGAAGCAATCTTTACATGAATCCAAAAATTTAGCAAACAAGTGATTGATTTGTAACAAGAGATTCTGAGAAAATGCTCAACATGTAAGAAGTTGAATCTTGATCTTCTGTAGCATCCCTACAACATCTTTCATGTTTGTCCTTCTTGCCGGAGATTCAGCACAACAATCTAATGCCACTTTCATGATTGATGCCACAACATCTAGCTCCTTCTGTAAGCAATTATCCATTGGTACTGTTATCAAATTGGCATCTACAACGTCCATTACTGCCTCGGGGAGTGAATAACTCACCCATTGCTTCAAGCTAAGATCTCCCTCAAAATCACTAGGCTTTCTCCTAGTAAATGTTTCCAGCAACATAATCCCGTAACAATAGACATCACATTTTAATGACACCAGTCCATCCATTCCATACTCTACAGGGAAACAATTAATTTAAATAGGCAATATACTTTCTTGATTGGAAAAAAAAAAAAGACGAAAAATCAATGTTCAAATTAGCAAAAACAAAGAGACGCACCCGGTGCAATATAACCAAATGTTGCTAAGGTTTTTGTGTATAAATCACTCTCATCTTCACCAAGCAGTTTTGAAATACCAAAGTCGCTTAGGTGGGCAACCACATCCTCGTCCAGCAAGACGTTACTAGGCTTCAGATCACAGTGAATCACGGGTAACGAGCACCCATGATGGAGATATTCTAACGTGCATGCTACATCTATCATAATGCTTAGTCTCTGCCTGATGTCTAGGAAGTAGTTGTGCGAATACAAATACTTGTCAAGACTTCCATTAGGCATATACTCGAGCACTAAACTCTTGAATGCCGCTTCCAGTTGCAGATTGAACACTTTAACTGCAATGGCAGTCCCACTCCTGAGAACGCCTTTGTAAACAGAGCCAAAACTTCCAGAACCAATCAGATTAGTACTCTCGCTAAGTGAATCAGTTGCTTGGAGTAGTTCATAGTATGAAATTCTTTCCGTTGTTGCGATAGACAATGAATCAGCTCGTTGAGGAACTCTTTTACCTCTTCTATACCTAATCCATACGAACACAAAGGCAATAGGAACAAATACAAGTGCAATTCCCAGCATAAGAAATAGAGCAAACATTTGTTTCCTATTTGATCTGTGCTTTGATGAAGTGGGGCATCGCGGGACACTAAATCTTGAAGAACCACACAATGCTTCATTGTCGATGAAAAACTGACTCGAGAGGTTCTTGAAAGGACCCCCCGAGGGTATTTCACCATACAATTTGTTGTCAGAAACATTGAAATACTTGAGGTATTGAAGTTTCTCCAAAGACATGGGAATGATTCCTGTTATATTATTATGAGAAAGGTCTAGGAATTCCAAGCCTACCATGTTTCTCATTGAGTCAGGTATAGATCCTTGCAACTTGTTGTGTCGCAAAAAATTGATTCATTGACAGATCCATATAATTCACAGCCTTTAGATTTCCAATTTCCGGAGGTAAAGAACCACAGATCCATCTGTATCACAGCTTTTAGATTTCCAATTTCCGGAGGTAAAGAACCAACCATGTTGTTTGATGACAAGTTAAGAACCATTAGATTTTTGAGATTTCCTAAGCTTGTTGGTATATTGGAACTCAATTTATTGGAATACATATGTATCTCTCTAAGGGAAGTGACGTTCCCTAAACAATTAGGAAGAGATCCTGAAAGTTGATTTTGTCCCAAGTAAATAGCACCCAAATGCTGCAATTTACATAAATTATCTCCAATAAATCCCGTAAGCTTGTTGTTGTTCAAGTACAGGCGCTGAAGGTTTCTCAAGTTACGAGTTGAGGTAGGAATTGATCCAATGAAGTTATTATTAGAATGATCAAGGTCTAATAAGCTGCTTAAGTTGCCAACTTCATTTGGAATCTGACCGTTAATCTTGCAAGCAGCGGCATAAAACTTTACAAGAGATTTGGAGAAATTCCCTACGGAGACCGGAAGCATGCCATTTAGAGGGTTGAAAGATAGAATGTTAAATTTCTGCAATTGGTTAAGGAAGTCAAGAAGCTTAAAAATGAATCACTGGTTAAATTGTTTCCCCACAAGTTTAGGAAGTTTAGATGAGTCAAATATCCAAGAGAATTGGGTATTAAGCCACTGAGTTTGTTTTGTGAAAGCTCTAGATCAGTAAGCTTTGAACAATTGGAGATAGAATGAGGAATAGTCCCAACAAGATTGGTTAAGGTATGCAGATAAAGTATTTCAATGTTGGGTAAGGTAGAACCTATGTTTGGTGGTAGAGTTCCTGATAGATTGTTGTCTGAAAGTTGAATTGTTCTCAGTTGTGATATGTTGAAGATCTCCATTGGAAGTGAACCACTAAAACTATTAAACCCAACATCAAATTCCTCCAACTCAACGAGATTTCTTATATCTTTGGGTATTTCACCTGTCAACACGTGAAGAAAGAATGAGTCTAGCTAGCTCAATACAGATCGCTATAACTTTGAATACGTACCAGTAAACCTATTTTCCTTGAGATTTAAGAATTGCATCTTGGTTAAGTTGCCAATCTCCCGTGGTAAGAATCCACTAAGATTGTTGCCCCACAGTAACAATGATTGCAGCGATGAGATATTGAATATGGAGATTGGGATAGATCCGGTAATCTGGTTATTCTCCACGCTTAAGTCCACCAAATTAACAAGATTTCCAATTTCTTCTGGAACTATACCTGCATTCAATGTGTAATAAAGAAAGATGTGAGGTAATTAGATTCAATATATAGTAGTAGCATTCATAAGATAAAACATATATACCTGTGAAATGGTTGTATCCGAGATACAATTTCTGCAAGTTAGTCAATTTTCCAATTTCATTATGTATTGGTCCATCAAAATTAATTTCCAGATAGAGACAATATTTGAAGTCGTGAACAATTTGACAAGCTTGTAGGCATATGACCATCAAGCTTGTTTCTGGATAGATAAAAGCTCTTTGAGTATTGGGAGATCATTGCATAAACCATTGGGAAGATCTCCTGATAGGCTATTATATGAAAATGCAATGACTTCAATTCTAGAAATATTGAATAATGTGAATGGTATAGAACCCGTAAGCTGATTTTGTTCTATGGACAACGATTTCAGGTTGTGAAGATTGCCAATCTCTTCCGGGATGTTTCCTTCAAGTAAATTGGTAGATATTTCTAAAATCTCCAACCTTGAGGCATTCGAGAGTGACGGAGGAATGGAACCAGTAAAACTGTTACTCCTAAGGTTTACAACTTGAAGTTGGTGTAAAAACCCAAACCAAGAAGGAATTTCCCCTCTGAAGCTGTTTAAACTTAAATCAAGAAACTTAAGCCGACGCAAATGTGCCATTTCTTGAGGCAAATTTCCGTGGAAATGGTTGTTTCCCAAGTCAAGAGAAACAAGAAATGTGAGATTTCCAAAATCACGGGGAATTCTTCCTGTAAGAGCAAAGTTGGAAAGCTTCAACGACTTCACTCGCTGGTGACGAGAACCACAAATGACTCCAACCCAACGGCAAACAGAAATAGCAGGAGACCAACTTTCATTCAAGAAGTGAAAGGGGTCGGAACTAATTTGGGATTTAAAAGAGAGAAGAGCTAATTGATCAGTTGTAATGTTGGTTTGGGCCATAACATAGTGAGGCAACAAGAGTATTGTTAAGAGGAAAAATGTGAAGGCTTTCTCCATTAGTGCAAATATTAGTACTAGTAACCTGTGGTTTTGAGACTTTGAAAAGCAATAAGATCTCTTTTTAGGAGATTTTTCCATTCAATCAAGTATTTCACATCTCAATCAGAATGGTCAAATATGGTGGCAAAAAAATTCCTCTAATCAGCCAATTAAGACATGGCAAGTAAACCAAGTTTTGCTTTATTTATTGTGTGCGTAATTCTTTGTAAATACTCTTGCTTTCATATTCTCTAGAATTGTGTGATGAAAAGTGGACCTACAGTGGAAAAAGGCCTCTGCTAAATTTGTTTCCTAATATAGTTATATCTCATTATTATTATTATTATTTATCATATATTTGACCTCTGATTTATGCATCATTTCTTAATTACCTTTTTCTCAATTGTCATTATCCTTTTGTTATTATATTTTCTATAAGCATTGACAGTCCATTTGAGATAACATTATGTACAAATTCCCTCCTAACTTATACAAGTATTAGTTACGTTGTTTTTTAAATTGTAAAACAAATTGTGTATTAATTTCAGACATGAATAGCTAGCTAGTAAACGTTGTATAACTAAGCAAAATTAAAACTATTTTTAATTAACTAACAATGATATGGATGAACATTTTCTCAAATGAAAATGTCATAGATAAACTAATTTTCTAAACGGATGGAATAGATTATGAGTTTTTTTTCTCAAAGTTCAATGGCATAGTTGGGTCTTTTCCCTTTAAAGAAAGAAGAGTTAATTATAAATAGTGATAATTCAGATAGAAAACACAAACACTTGATAATTTATGTATGAATCTTACAAAAAAAAAAAAAACACTTGTGAGTTCTTGATCATTATCGCTTCTCACTTGAGAGATAAAAAGTACAAAATTAAATGAGATATTTAGAAGGTATTTGACTAAGCTTGTAGGCTCGTTAAACTAACTTATAAACAATTTTTATCTTACGTTCGTATTAATTAGTAAACATTCAAAGTACTTATAAACCACTAAGACCAATCAAAAGTCATAAGTTGATTATTCCGAACTTATTAATTTTTGGGTTATGAACACTCTTGATTTGACCCGGTCTCTTACTATTTTGTCCTTATTTTTTTTTAAATTCTCAAAAATACTTTTTCCAATATAAGTCTCGTAACTTCCTCTTCACTAAGATATATAGTGTTCCTCTTTTTCTTTACAAGGTTACATTTAGATTTACACTTTCTAAAAAAAGACAAATCAAGATTATTTTAGATTAGTTATTTTAATAAAAGAACAACTTACCAATACAACATCTTACCAAATACATAAATCTTTATTATAAATTTCAATACTTTTATCCGAACACGTAATCACACTTTTTTTAGGGATAATACATAAATGTGTTCTTTAACTTGGCCTCAGCTGGCATCTACAACCTTCAACTTTGGGTGTGCACAAGTATACACATAAACTTTTATAACGTTGAACAAGTAGACACACGTGTCCTATGTGGTATAATACACGTAAGATGCCACGTAGGATGTAAATTGCTACATAGAACGCCACATAAGATGTATACAGTGTATGTACTTGTTCAACTTTACACAAGTTTAAGTGTTTACTTGTTCACACCCAATGTTGGAGGACATAAATGCCAATTAAATGGTACATTTATGTATTGTTATAACGGTATTCAAGCCAACTTTCAAACATCTCCACTAATTCCACGAAGATATTTGTCATCTCCCATCGACCACACCAATACACATGTGCTTTATGTTGCCATTCTAATAAGTCAATGCTTTCAAGGATTTATTTGTTTTGGCAAATTTACCACTAGACAAAGTGTCTAGCGGCCTTTTATTAGAAATAAAAATCTCAATAGGGATAAGTACAAGCAAGGGGGGCTAGGTCTTACCTTACCAATCCTAATGCGGTAACAAACCTCTACTAACTAACAAGCATGAAGAAAATATGAGCTAGAGAGAACTAGGTATTTGGTAAATTTACAGAGTTTGTAATTCACTCTATGATGATATTACAAACGAGGATGCTTAAATAGTGCAAAAATATAACAACCAAGAAGAATGTTGAGTTATCGACCTGAACATTCCTTTTAAAGATGCATGAATGAAAAGAATTGATTGCCCATCTAAAGTAACCTGAAGTATTTTGTTCTTGTCTTCTTCAAATCTATCCAACAACACTTGATATTTCATCACTTCTTCTTGGAATTATTGGATCTTGTTGAATATGTTGACACTGTCATATGATTCTGTTTTGCCAGTCGCATCGGTAGGTGTTTGAAACAACCTCCTCAGGCACCTTGTCATTCCATTTATTCTTTCCTCCATGCTTCTTTTTGTTATATATTGTGTTGTTGCCTAGGAGAAATATCTGCATCCCTAGCTACATTCTTAAAACATTGATCCAACCAATCCTCTTCATCACTTTCCTCATCTTGTAGGTTAGCAAACTGATTTGGGGAGAAAGTACTACTACCACCAACTTGTAGTTGTTTGTTAGTGTTAATAGGTGTAAGAGAAACCAACCTTTCAACATCAGAACCCCCCCAATGCATCAATAAGCTCCTTGTCACTGACATATACTTTTTGAACATTAGAACCTGCTAAAATCAATTGTCACCCCCGATGTAATGGAGATGAAACATAGGCAATGCTACTACCCTTAGGCACAAAGGCTGATGAAAATCTTGATTCCGTCACTGACTACTGGTATAGCACTGAGCTAATACTTGACAGAATCGATCCTGCCTATCGTAGACATTGAGTCTCTTGTGCTACAGTCAAATGTGCTATTTTCCTCTATGCCTTTTTGCATTTCTCTCTATTGTTGCACAACTAATGTCCTTCACATACACTATTGTTGCAGGAGTGCCAAAGTCAAGGTTCAGTTCGAAAAAATAATGTCTAAAAGATCAATAAATACTTGGAAGGAATTGAAGTGTTCTTCTAAAAGCCAGATTTACGTATTATATTTTTTAGAGAAGTTGAGTTGAGTAGACATTGTGTACATAGAGACAACACCGTATCAATTTTTTTGTTTTTATGTTCTTTTGATTTAAAGAAAGTCTATTGTAAATTTGATGAACTTTAACACTAATTTATGTTAACTTCATGATTTAGTTAGATCTTTGTGTTTTTTATTCCATGAAATATTTTATTAATTTAGTTGTAGCTTAATTTTATATACATTATTACCTCTACGAAATTGAATATAAAAATTCCATCAAAAGTGTTGCGGAGGTTATAGCCCCAACATACTAAAATTTATTTGTGGAGGGTTATAAAACCCCCACAAAATGGAATAAAATTATTTCCTGGAAAATAAATTACAGAAGTTAGAACCCCGCTAATTGTCGATTGTGGGGGTTGCTTAAAAACTGCTGCAACTTAATTGTGACAAACCTAACTATGGGGGTTGTGGAAACCCCTGTAACGACAAATTGTGGGGGTTCTAAACCCCCACTATTCGTAATTTTTACTCCTGCGAATTAGCCCCTTTTTTGTAGTGTATTGCGTTGTTGCCTAGGAGAAATATCTGCATCCCTAGCTACATTCTCAAAACATTGATCCAACCAATCCTCTTCATCACTTTCCTCATCTTGTAGGTTAGCAAACTGACTACCATCAACTTGCAGTTGTTTGTTAGTGTTAATAGGTGTAACTTGTAAGAGAAACCAACCTTTCAACATTAGAACCCCACAATGCATCAATAAGCTCCTTGTCACTGACATAAACTTTTTGAACATTAGAACCTGCTAAAATCAATTGTCGCCCCCAATGTAATGGAGATGAAACATAGGCAATGCTACTACCCTTAGGCACAAAGGTTGGTGCTCCGGGGATCAATTTACTATGAGGTGTGACATGCTCCTCCTCTTCTTCTACCATATTCGCCCATCGACTCTCATTTGTAACACATTTTTGCCCACTAGAAGTCATCCAGTTGTTTGATGATAAAATTGTGAACTTGTCTTAAGTCTTATCTCTCCATAAGAGTTAGCTAGATTAGCTAAGCTTGCCTATGTCATTTAATTGTTCACAAGTTTTGCTAGACTGACAATATAAATTTGGTGCTTCATTCTACACATACTATCATTGTTAAATTATTCACAAGTCTTGCTGAGTGGATACATTTGTAACGTACATTCAAAAACTAGCCTCAACTACAAATTTGATTGGTGAGAGTAACAGTTATATACTATATAAATTGTTTAAAGGTTGGTAAGGGAAATCATATCAATTATAAATTTTGTCTACATAAGAAATAAATGGTTAGTTGATATAAAATAGTATTTTCTTTTAAAAGAATATAAACTTGTGGACCAATTTTTGTATTTGAAAAATGTAAAATGGTGATATCAAATTCCCAATCAAACTTTTTGGAAAATTTGAGATGTCATCCCAAATCATGAGATGGAATTGCAAGTTCAAAATCAGATTTTATCAAATGACTCAAATCACGAGATGAAATCACATAACCAAAGCTACTCAGTGAAATAGTATAAATTGTTGCTCATGAGGTATAAGTTGTTATTCTAATTTTCAAGCAATTATTTTCAAAGTTAAAAGGTCATTTTAAAAAAAATATTATTAAGAGGCTAACAAAATATTCAAGACGAACACTTTGAATCATTATTTTTCAATTGCAGGAGCTGAAAAGTGGTTATTTGTTGAGTTTTAGCAAGTGATTTTCCCTTCCTTGTTTCAAGCACTCACTCAGGTCTCAGGTATGAAATCTATCCATTATTTTCAAGACACTGATAAAGCAGTTAGTATATGAATGTGTAGCTTACTGCATGATTTGTTGCCCGCAACATGTTCGACGTTTTGCCTCAGTGAATTTCTGCAAATTGTTTTGTGTTTTCTACCAAGTCTTAAGTGTTCAACAATGTACGATTTTGTGTAGGTCGAGTAGTTTGCCTGCATTACAAATTACATACAACCTTGGATGAGATCCTTCTTCATATATAGCTTGCACGAATGCATTTTTTGTCATTGCCCTTTTTGTTTGTTGTCTTGATGTCTTAGTGTTTCCCATGTAAAACATTTAATAAATTACTTGCCTACTTCTATTCATATAGTTTATTCCTCTAACAATTTACAAAATGATCATTCTCCTTCAAGATTTTCAAGAGGATCAATTTGGTTTTAGTTTTTAAGAGGAAACAGTGACATTTATTGCAACCAACTAGCATTTCTGAAAACAGAATCATGCACAAATCAAGTGCTAAAACAAAACAAAAAAAGTGATCGATTCGGAACAAGAGATTCAGAGAACATGCTCAGCATGCAAGAAGTTGAATCTTGATCTTCTGTAGCATCCCTACAACATCTTTCATGTTTGTCCTTCTTGTCGGAGTTTCAGCACAACAATCTAATGCTACTTTCAGGATTGATGCCACGATATCTAACTCCTTCTGTAAGCGATTATCCATTGGTGTAACCAAGTTGGCATCCATAACGTCCATTACTGCCTCTGGGAGTGAATAACTCACCCATTGCTTCAAGCTAAGATCTCCCTCAAAATCACTAGGCTTTCTCCTAGTAAATGTTTCCAGCAACATGATCCCGTAACTATAGACATCACATTTTATTGACACCAGTCCATCCAGCCCATACTCTACAGTCAAACAATTAGTTAAAAGATGCAATATACTTTCTTGATTGGAAAAAAAAGAATAAGAGGAAAAATCAATGTTCAAATTAGCAAAAACAAAGAGACGTACCTGGTGCTATATAACCAAATGTTGCTAAAGTTTTTGTGTATAAATCACTCTCATCTTCACCAAGCAGTTTTGAAATACCAAAGTCGCTTAGGTGGGCAACCATATCCTCATCCAGCAAGACGTTGCTAGGCTTTATATCACAATGAATCACGGGTGAGGAGCATCCATGATGGAGATATTCCAACGCACATGCCACATCTATCATAATGCTTAGTCTCTGGCTGATATCTAGGAAGTTGTTGTGCGAATACAAATACTTATCAAGACTTCCATTAGGCATATACTCGAGCACTAAAGCCTTAAAATCAAGGTTGGAGCAACTAGTGATGACTTTCACGAGATTCCTATGGCGAAGGCTGCGCAAAACTTCACATTCTGTATCAAAACTCTTGAATGCCGCTTCCAGTTGCAGATTGAATACTTTAGCTGCAATGGCAGTCCCACTTCTGAGAACACCTTTGTAAACAGAGCCAAAACTTCCAGAACCAATCAGATTACTCTCGCTAAGCGACTCAGTTGCTTGGAGCAGTTCATAGTATGAAATTCTTTCTCTTGTTACGGTAGACAATGAGTCAGCTTGTTGAGGATCACCTTTACCTCTTCTATACTTTATCCATACAAACACAAAGGTAATAGGAACAAATACAAGTGCAATTCCCAGCATAAGAAGTGCAATTCCCAGCACAAGAAATAGAACAAGCATTTTTTTCCTATTTGATCTATGCTTTGATGATGTGGCGCATGGTGGGACACTAAAACTTGAAGAACCACACAATGCTTCATTGTCGATGAAAAACTTACTCGAGAGGTTCTTGAAAGGACCCTCTGAGGGTATTTCACCGTGCAACTTGTTGACGGAAACATTGAAATACTTCAAGTTTTGAAGTTTCTCCAAAGACATAGGAATGGTTCCTGATATATTATTATGAGAAATGTCTAGGAATTCCAAACCTACCATGTTGCTCACTGAGTCAGGTATAGATCCTTGCAACTTGTTGTGTCTCAAAGAAAGATGCACCAGATTTTGCAATCCTCCAATTTCCCTAGGAATTCCATTTGAGAATTGATTCATCGACAGATCCATATGTGTCACAGCTTTTAGATTTCCAATTTCTGGTGGTAAAGAACCAACCATGTTGTTTGAGGATAAGTCAAGCTCCATTAAATCCTTAAGATTCCCTAAACTTGGTGGTATATTGGAAATCAATTTATTGGAACCAAGATGTATCAATCTAAGGGAAGTAACATTCCCTAAACAATTAGGAAGAGATCCTGAAAGTTGATTTTGTCCCAAGTAAATAGCACCCAAATGCTGCAATTTACAAATTAAATCTCCAATAAATCCTGTAAGTTTGTTGTAACTCAAGTTGAAGCGTTGAAGGTTTCTCAAGTTGCCAATTGATGTGGGAATTGATCCAACCAGGTTGTTTCCAGAAAGATCAAGCTCTAACAAGTTGCTTAAGTTCCCAACTTCATTTGGAATTCGCCCTTTAATATTGCAAGAACTGGCGTAAAACATTGTAAGAGAAGTGGAAAGGTTCCCTGCAGATACTGGAAGCATGCCATTTAGAGGGTTCAAAGATAGAAAAAGAATTGTTAAATTTCTACAATTGGTTAAGGAAGTGAGGAAGCTAAACGATGAGTCACTTGTTAAATTGTTTGCTGCCAAGTTTAGGAACTGTAGATTAGCCAAATATCCAAGAGAATTGGGAATCAAGCCAGTGAGTTTATTATTTGAAAGCTCTAGATTAGTAAGTTTTGAACAATTGGAAATAGAATGAGGAATAGTCCCAACAAGATTTGTTAAGGCACCCAAATAAAGCTCTTCAATGTTGGGTAAGACAGAATCTATGTTTGATGGTAGAGTTCCTGATAGATTATTGTTTGTAAGAGAAATTATCCTCAAGCGTGAAGTACTGTTGAACATCTCTATTTGAAGTGAACCACTGAAACTATTTAACCCGAGACTAAGTACCTCCAACTCCATCATATTGCTCATCTCTTTGGGTATTTCACCTAAAGAAATTAAGAATGAGTTAGTTCAAGCTAGTACAAGTTTATAATTTTGCTATCACTTCAAATACGTACCAATAAATGTATTTTCTCTAAGATCTAGAATCTGTATCTTGGTTAAGTTGCCAATCTCTCGTGGTAAGGATCCCTTGAGATTGTTCCGCCATAGTCCAAAACGTTGCAGTGAGGAGATATTGAATATGTTGATCGGGATAGAGCCACTAATCTGGTTATCCTCCATGCCTAAATCCGCCAAATTAGCAAGATTTCCTAACTCTTGTGGAATTATTCCTGCAGTTCAAGTTCAATATTACAAGTATTCATAAAAGAATTAATAATGTTGTAGCTAGGATCGTACCTGTGAAATGGTTAGATCCGAGATACAATATCTGCAAGTTACTCAATCTTCCAATTTCACTATGTATTCGTCCGTCAAACTCATTACCTGATAAATTCAATATTTGAAGTTGTGAACAATTTGACAAGCTTGTAGGCATATGACCACCAAGTTTGTTTGTGGATAGATAAAGCCCTTTGAGTATTGGGAGACCATTACATAAACCATTGGGAAGATTTCCTGATAAGCTATTGTCTGTAAATGCAATGAATTTGATTCTAGAAATATTGAAAATTGTGAACGGTATAGAACCCGTAAGTTTATTATGTTGTATGGACAACAATTTCATCTTGTGTAGATTGCCAATCCCTTCTGGAATGTTCCCTTGAAGTAAATTACGAGATAAATCTAATGCCTCCAACCTTGAGGCATTCGAGAGTGACGGAGGAATAGAACCTATGAGATTATTTCCATACAAGCTTAAAACTCTAAGGTTTATAAGACTTCCAATCACTTCTGGGATTTCACCCTCTATGGAATTGAAATTCAGATTCAAAGTTTCAAGTGTGGAAATATTAGAAAATGAAGAAGGGATGGAACCAATGAAACTATTATTTCCAAGATTTAGATCTTGAAGTTGGTGTAAAAACCCAAACCAAGAAGGATTTTCCCCTCTAAAGTTGTTGAAGCTTAAATCAAGAAACTTAAGCCGATGCAAATATGCCATTTCTTGAGGCATATATCCCTGGAAATTGTTGCTTCCCAAGTCAAGAGAACCAAGAAATGTGAGGTTTCCAAAATCACGGGGAATC